ATGATTGCTCTACCTTTTCTAAACTAACCTCTTTTTAGTTAAAGAAATGACAAAGAAAGAAAACCTCTGTCTCACTAAGCTGATCAATTTAACAAAAGACAAATTTTTTAGTTGATCTATCACAATTTTGACAAAATATATATGTATAAAAAGTACGGAGGACTTGACCCTTGTGTTCTAAGTGGTAGTTATGGCCCTGGCCCCTGGTCAGTTGTGGCTGATGGCCGTTCAAACCTGGTTCTGCACAATGCTAGCAATACTTCACTGTTTCTACATGCTTATGCAGAGGGAGTTAATTCTACAAGGGCAATTACTAGGTCATTACTAGAGGAGTTCTTGAGCTGTGGACTGTCACCACCTCAACGCCAGAGTGTTTGCCAGATGCCCTCCTGATCCACTGGATAAGCCTGGTCCTTCTATTCTACCCCCCACCCCCCTCCCCCCCTGGAAGGAATTATTTGAGTCACACTGAGCAAGGGGAAACCTTCACCAGATCTGTTCAAGCCCACTTCAGGAAAACCCGGTGACAGTCCGTTCCATTGCTCCTCTTGACCCAATGCTAGTGTGCCTGTCTGGCCTCCAACAAGTTCATTCATCTCTGGATTAAATCCCCCACAAACTGGACCCAAGGGAAACCATGAATCTTCCTAACGTGAGTCTTCTCCAGCTATTCACCAGTCTCAGTCATTTACCTTACAGACCTCGAAGTGATCTTTGTGATCTCTCCTAACAGTTTCCGGTTCCAGTTCACCAGTCCGCTGAAGTCCCACTGCGATAACCCTGCATATAATCTCTCTCTCTCTCTCTTTTTTTTTTAACCTCTCAATAAACCTGTTAACTTTTCCCCTGGCTCTCTGAGTATATCTCTGCATGTGGGTGAGATCTTTAAAATCCATCATGACAATATGATATTTAATCAGATATTATTTCAGTTGTTATATACTACACACGCCTTACAAGGTGTGTTAGAACAATAAATGAAAGAGTGATTTGAGCAGTAATCATGGTTCAAACAGTTAATTCTGCACATACATGGAATGAATTCACCACAACTTCTGGTAAAAAATGAGAGTTTATTAACAAAAATCGTTCAGCTCCAAGTCAAACATGTTGTTCCAGTTTGTGGGGTTGGTGCCATCTGGTTACTTCTGTCTTTGAGGGCTTGCCTACACGTATCAACCCACACCTGCAACAAAACTCTCATCACCTCAGAGGAGTATATGAGCAGCTGACTTTCATCACCTCTTTGCCAGAGTGTGTTCCTGTTTTGGGAAACCTTAAGATCCTCTGTGATTCAAGTCCTTCCAGCCCTGGAAGAAAGCCTCTCGAGAATCTGAGAGTCCCTCAACTCCCCTCATCTGAGCTTCAACCTCATCAGGATTTGAGTTGAGAGTCTGCTCCGCTGCTCCTCTGTGCCCCCTTAAACTTACCTGTCCGCCCTCCAATGACTCATCCACCTTCCACCAGCCAAGGCCTCCACAAACTGGAACCTATGACCACCCTCCAACTCACACCTAGTTCAAGTAAGAACAGTACAGCAGTTTTCTGCATTTTTTCCTCACCAACTGTGAACTCACCTCATCACTCTCTCCTTGA